AAGGATGTCATCATCATCTTCCACATCATCTTCATCCTCCTCTTCCTCATCAATGGCATTTGTTTCCATGTCGGTTAAGGAATCGTTGTTAGAGGGCTGCTGATTCTCCTCAGGTATAGGAGAGACCTCGATTTCATGTGACGAACCAACATCTGGTGAAGAGCTGACCTGCGACTGGTTTAACATAAGGACATTAGAAGTCACAGGATTTGGAGCAAAAGGGGCAAGTGGTTCAGGAGACACTTGGTTTTCAGTTGGATTTGGCTGAGCAGTAGGTAAGTCGGGTCTTAGAGCTGTCCCTACAGATGGCAGCGGAGGAGAACCAGCGCTGCTACAGTTGGTTTGGTCAGAGCCCCCAGCAGGGTTGGGACGAGGCTGGGTCTGTGTTACAGACTTAGTCTCCTGAGGCCGATTCTTTGGAGGCACAAGCTCTGCGCAGAAGATGACATCATCGTCATCATCGTCATCATCAGAATCACTAATCGTAATCTTCGTGGCATCACACTCCTCCCCATACAAAGAAAATGATTCAGTTATAACAGGTTTGCCAGGGATCAGGTTTTGACTCCCAAGCTGCCCCAGAGGCTTTTGGGCTTCGAGGCCATTTGCATCTGAACTGGGCTGTTCCAAAGTGTCAGGCTTGACGCCCCCTGCCATGTTTTTCACCTGCTGCAGAGGAGCACCCAGCTCAGCAAGAAATTTGACCCCAAGCAATTGCGAAGATTTAATTAATTCATCAAGCAAGTCCGATCTTACTCTGACTATTCTGGAACTGTAGATATAGTTGAGAATTTCTGCAAAAATCTCTGCTCTTATGAAGTTCAACTCCACCACTTGTTCTGCAACTGAGAAGAGCTGGTGAAAGTAAGTGCTTGATGCCGAAAGGACATTTCTGTGGGCTCGAAATTTCCGGTCCTCCACAATAACTGTAACATCACAGAAAATTCCAAGGCTACGCTGCTCATCCAAAGCCTTTAACAGCATACCAGAGTACTGGTTGTCTGTTGCTGTAATTAGCTTTCTGGTCTCCATTCCTACAGCAAGAATATAAAGAGAAGAGCTGTCAGATCTCTCTGCAACAGATTAGTCAGTAGACATTCAGAATTCTCAATGTGCCTTACTTTAAAATATCCTTATGCACAGTCCAGGCAGGCGTCAACATGTACAAAGACCTTAGTCAACATGGCTCTTTACTGGGTATAAACCAGAATGATAGTTTCTAAATTGAAATGTCAGTTAATTTGACTTCACTCTTTTATGTCATTAGTTTGCTTAGAAATCTATAACACCTCAGCACTGAAAGGGATTTTAAAGATATTTATCTCTGCATAGTGCTACGAGTCCTATCCAACTTATTTGAAAACAAATTCAATCAAAATGAATATTTCCATACAATATCCTTAATGCCAAAAAGAGTTCATAAACACAAACAGCATACATGTTACTGGGAAAAATTATCTTAACCACACTGTTAGAATGAAAAGCAATACTTAAGGTTTAGAACAATGCAACAGGTTGAGCACTACTGAAGTGGGGAATGCTCCCATTTATACCTGAGGTAAAATCTGGGTTTTAAGATCTGTGCATAATGAATGACTCTGATCACACCAATCAACTGATGAATGGTCTAATCTCTATAGTTTCTTTTCTTAAAAAAAACACAAACTCAATGTTACAACACAGCTAGCAGCAAAGCACTTTTGAAAAATACAAAGTCAAACACTTCATGAAACTTCCTCCGGAGCTAACTTGCAAAAACGTTATATTTATGAGCCTCAGCTGTACAAGTCTGTGCAAATGCACATCAGAGAGATATTCTACCAGTCTCCTGAAGTACAAGTCTGTGCAAATGCCATTCATCAGAGAGATATTCTACCAGTCTCCTGATGATACATTTATACTTACTCTCCTCAACTGATTTTTTTTATATAAATTGCCATGGGTTGGATCCTAGGACTCCTTTCTGATAAAACAGATCCTCCAACTCCCTACTGTCAATAGTTCCTTCAACAGAGAAACTTTTCTGCTGCTGGAAAAAGCCATTTTCCATTGGAGGAAGACTTGACAGAAGGGAGCTGTAAAATCCATCACAATGTCAGTGCCTTCTCTAGCACACACATGTGGAAGAACAGCCTGCCAATGGAATACAAGAGAAGATACTTACACAGGAATACTCAACTGCAAAAAAAAAATGCATGTTTGTGATAATAAGCAAGGCTGCCATTCTGCACAAGGGACCAAAGTCCTGTGCCCTTAAAATGTATACAAAAAGAAACCTTTACAAATGCACTATTTCCCATAATTGCCCCACAGCAAGAGGAAAAACGGAACATGTTGAAATTTTAGCTCCCGTGCAACTTCTAAAGACACAGAAGAGTGGTAGCCAAAGCTAATGCATCATGTGAAATAAAAATACTTGTAATAAAATGAGACATGAAAAGATTAGTTGGTAGATCTTGCAGACTAAAAAGACTGCTTGATCAACCAGCATAGGTGTGATTCAACACACTCCTGGATGAAATGTTGCTAGTTTTTAAGGCACCACCAAATTCTTGTTTATTTTTGGATCGGTTTTCTCTAGGTTTGGCCTTTGTGTCACACAGTGGCCAGAAATACCAGTGCCATCAGGAGGTCCAGCAGTGGGGCAAGGTTTGGCCTTGTATGTGTGTACGTGTGTGTTACATGCCACCAAATTGCCTACAACTTATGGCAACCCAATGAATTAATGACCTCCAAAACATCCTGTACTTTTCAGGCAAAAAAAGGAGGGGGCTCTAGCTGGGGGTGGCCTGCGTAAAAGATGGGAAAGGGGGAGGGGTTAGGACGTCTCAAAGGAAGGCTACAATTTTTCTTTCTTTGCCCTATAAAGCCGAGGTTCAACTTGAAACCAGCTCTACTCAGCAAGGCCTGATATAATAAAGTCTGCGAGGTATCCTGCGCAAGATGAAGACAAGAGTCCCTTAACATCATAGCTGAAACTAATTCTGTCTCTGCCTTTAAAAAAAAGCAACCTGGTTAAGAAAAGAACTGTAATGAAATTCTGAAACTATGATGTACTCAATTTGGTTAAATGGACTTGTTTTAGCTTTATTAATCTTAAAATATGGCAGCCAGTTTTATTCCTGTACTCTTTTCTTTTATATTGATAATGGTAGAAACGACTATTAAGAATCTTGTAGATATGATGATTCTTGCCTTTATGTGTTATTGATTAGTGTTATAGCATCCTGTATTTCCCTTTCCCTTTGTAGTTTTTGTAGTAATAAAGCAATACAATTTTAAAAAAGAACTGTAAAGGCTGTAAAAGCTTTATGAAACTTTGGTTCAACTAAAAAGTACTGCACAGCTTTTGTACAGGTGCTGTTTCCCTTAAAAACAACAATGGAAAAGGGAATCCACTGAAATCTTTTAAGACTTTCTGTTGCCTGAATTTCCGTAGCGGGTTCTGATTTTCTAGCAAAGGATGCCAATCTGAATGAAGACGGATGAGAATGAAAGATTTTGCAAAGAGATCTGTGCATTTTATACTTTTTTCAAAAGAATGTGAACCATGAGAGCAGCAGGTTGCCTTCCTTGGTTTTTTGATCCTGCTCCAGTATTTTTACTGGTAGCCTAATTTACAAAAAGTTAGGAAGAGACGTTTTTACCACTGCTGCTCTTTCAGGAAAAAGCTTCACTAGCTGAATTTCTGTAGAACAGCTGAGCCAGAGAACAAGGTGGCTGGCAACCCTAGACAAGAAGCACAGAGAACTGCCATGTTCTCTGATTGGAACAACAGGTTTTACATGGGAAGAGAACAGAAAAGCAGAAAACCTTAGGAAACTTTATGATTTCTTTTGACATGTACCACTAATACTACCGACCTCAACTCTATATACTACTTTCCTCCCACTGTGTAAAGAAACAGAAGCTCAGGTAGAAGTTCAGTTCTGGTTTTGATTCTTACATGCACAAAAGTGAAGGGAACTGTCACAAGGAACAATTAACAAACCTTAATTCAGAAAGCATCTTAAGTAGATGTTGCTGACGTGGGCCAGAAACTGCAAGAGAACCACTTTAATGTGCATAAGTGCATATACAAAATGAGAAGTGTGGGAAATGAAAGAAAGATCTGCACCACTTATGACAAATGGCTAAGTATTACTGTGGAATAGATAACCTTACAGCTAGGGAAATGTCACTTTATTTTAAAAACGGACACTTTCAAGAAGGATAACAACCAACGCTACCACTATGGCCCCTGATTTTCTGTCATTAACAGGTGGAATCGCACAAAGATGGCTTCATCTAGGCCAACACCCCATTTCCAACAGCAGTGAGATGCCTCCATGAAGCAGGACTTGAGTTGATGGAACCCTTGCTGTACCTAGGAGGCACCCTGTAACCCACAAAGCCCAGTTCTACCCACCAGCCATACTCTACAATCTGCCACGTGTGCTGCCCTACCCTATCATTTTGTGCAGTCCCACACAGGCAACAAAAAAGGCAAAAAAGAGAGGTTCATCCAGCTCTTGATTGGCACGATAACAATCAACGCTACCACTATGGCCCCTGCTTTTCTGTCATTAACAAACAGGTGGAATCGCACAAAGATGGCTTCAGGAGGAAGGGCAGAAGAAAGGTAATGACAGGGAAGCACTTAAAATAGCCAGAAGGGAGAAGTAATGAACCGCAGTAGAACGGGTGGGGGGGGGAGCAAGATGTATAGGTCTTGAACAAGAGAGAAGCAATGTATTCATATACTTCATTTGCACCCTGCCTCTCTCCCCACTGGAGCTTATGCTGTTCTCCATTTTAACCTCACAACAACCCCGTGAGGTAGGTTAGGCCAAGAGTGTGGGACTGGCCCAAGGTCATCGAGCAAGCTTCCAAGGCAGCGTGGGGGCTCCAGCGTGGGGTCTCCCAACCCTCTAAACTACTAGACCACACTGGCAATGACAGCAGTATGGGAAGAGACTGGAGAGCAAACAGTAGTGCCGCGGGAAGCAATGAGAAGTGTGTGGAATGGCATGGCGGCCGGGGCGGCCAGAAGAGTTGGCAGGTGGAAACCTGCGAGAAGGGAGAAGCCCCGACTTCAGCAAGAAGATGGGCCAGGATGGAGGGGGGGGGAGAGCATCTTTCCTG